TCTTGAATATTAATTGAAATAGGTACTATGCAACGTACGTGCTTAGGTAAGAGAGGAGTAGAATATACAGAAAAGTCGCAGGAATAATATGAAACAATTAAATAAGTATGTTTTGATAACTAGCAGTTTCCTGAACTTGAGGCGGGTATGGTCGGTCGCTGAATAGCAATATGACATTATATAAACCAATCATTAATTACCGACTTTATGCGTGCAGAGGACTAATCCGGGCATGAATCAGTGCACCAGTGAGTCTATCCAACGTCCCCGGCAAATATTGCACGATTCCCAAGAGGTATTTCAACATCACAAAACTACTTGGCTAAAGTTAGATTAAGGAGTGTTCTCTGAGTAAAATGCAGAGTAATTGATTCGTGTAGTTTTCCAGGTGAAATGAAGGAGTGATATAAATGTAAAAATTATCGAATCAAGTAGTTGAAGAATTTGCTCCGAATGATATGCAAGACTCAATGTTTAGAGCTGAGGAGATATGACATTCTCAATCAATTATCTCGTTGAATACTTTGAGCAGGCGCGTACGCAGGATTTTTTCAAGGGGGGGAGGGGGGGGGGGGGGGTAAGAGGACACTTTTTTTTTTTTTTTGGTCGCGAAATTTGAAAATTTGACCAAAAAAAAAAATTCAAAAGGGGGGAGGGTTTTAGAGAAATTTAGGGGGGGGGGGGGGGGTTTACACACAAACAATTACCAAAGGGGGGGGGGGGTTTAACCCCCCCCCCCCTGTGTACGCGCCTGACTTTGAGAGGTAGTAGTGAGGGAGGAAAACAAAGATCATGTTGTTTTCCTCCATCTTGCAAAGCAGGATGAAGACAAAGAGAGCAGCTGATACCGGGCTGATACCAATTCCGGGAATTAAGATGGAGTCATTAGTGAATGTAGTGCACGGGGCTATTAAAGCTTATCTGCCATAGTTTACAGGAGGGATTAGACCGCCCTACACGGTCACTGAACAGGTGGTTATCTCATCAACTCAGCTCTCAGTTAACATAAGAAAAAGAGGATCATGGGGGACCAATGGTCACCGATTAGGCATTGTTTGTTATAGAGGGTGCAAGTAGCTACACGTAGTGCAGTGTGCCTTTAAGCTAAACACTTGTTGAAAAACAACATATAGGAGCAGTGACTATGTCCTTTCGAATTAGTTTTGAAATGAAGAAGGGTGAAACGAGGAAAATGCTACTAACTTTATCATCTTGTCTTACATTATTTTGTAGGATACTATAGAGTCCACAGTTTCGGGGCACTGCATGCTCAAAACCCCGTTTATATGATAACATTGGCTGATAACAATTTACAGATGAAGAATAAATAATAATGATGAGCTGTGGTAAAGTCTGATGGTGACTACTATTATCTCTCTCTCTTCCTCTCAATCTTTCCATTCTCTCTCCATCGCCCTTATTGTCTTCTCTCTCTCTCTCTCTAGCTCATACGTATACCCATTCCTCCATATTTCTGTTCGGGTATATCTCCCGTATTTCTGATCCGCTCACTTCAATTCCTCAACCCCCCTTTCCCCTTTCCTCCCAGTCTCTCTGTAATCATTAATATTTCTTATCTCTTTTTATCATCCTATGCTCCTTCTCTCTCACTCCCCCTATCATTCCTTTCTACAGGTACCTCTCTCTCTCTATTTTGCCCTACCCCCTCACCCTTCGTCATATCTCTCTTCATCAATATTGATCTCTCTCTCTCTCTCTATCTCTCTCACCCCGCTCCATCTCCTTTGTGCTCCCACTCTCTCTTTTCCCCTTTGCTCTGTCACTGGCTGTTATTTTCTGATGAGTTCCCCTTTTATTGATCTTCTCTCTCACTCAACTATTTTTTAAAATATTTTTTTTTAGCAACTGCCTTTTCTGCTTCTCTATATTTTTAGTTTTTTCTTGCTTCCTCCCTTTGAAGTTTATATTTGTGAGTCCATTTCTCTCATCTCTCCCTCTCCCTCCTTCCCTAACCCCCTCTTTCTCATCTCTCTCTCCCTCTATCTCTCTTTTCGTCTTCCCATGCCTCTCCTTAATTTCACATCAGGCAAAGAGATCAGAGATTCAGATGGTATATTTAAATCTTCCTTTTTTATTCATGTTTATTACAATTGACATCAATAGGCCAGTTCTGTCATGTACACCAAATGTATGCATCCTCCTGTTAAGAATAAATGTATCTCAATAGTCGGAATTCAAATTGTATACATTAGTTGCTGCTAGGTAGGACAAACATTATGACTTGCACAGTTGTGCAAATATAACCGAATATTGAGTGTCACATAAAGCTGAAGGGATAAAAGGATACTCGCTAACAAAAACACTATCATCAAACTACAACTAGCACATTATTTTGTCTCCTTTGTAAATCAAAGTGTTGAAATATCTAAGGCACTGCAAACTTCATTTCAGTAATTAATGATCATCCAAATATACATAGAAAGACCTGGTTTATAGTACAGTGAAACCTGTCTATAAAGACCACCCAAGGGAGACAAGAAATTGGTCTTTAATGGCAGGTGGTCTTTATGTCCAGGTTCCTTTATTACATGTTTAAATGAGAAAATTTTCAAGGGAAACAACAAATGTGGTCTTTGTAGACAGGTGGTTTTTCTATACAGGTGGTCACTAAGGCAGATTTGACTATACATCCTTTTGCATGACATATTTCAGAATAAACTCACAGATCTGAACGATTCGCATTGTCTATTATGACATTCAGAGTTGATTATAAAAATGACATCACTTAATCAGAAGAGGATGGTGATCAAAAGGCAATGTAACGGAATGCTCATAAGAGTACTTTACACGTATTTGTTTGTATCTTATAAGCCAATCAACAATGCTAACTTACTAAAATATATAACATATTTACAAAGCAAGTATGGCAAACATATACAAGCTCAAAATATACATGTATCATACCATTGCATAATCGTAATCATAATGATGCAAAGAAAAACCTGGAATGTTTATGATAAACATTATTGAAATCCAATAACTGAATACAACTAGAATAAACATGTATCGCATAATTATGGCAGCATATTTACATGAACACTGGAATGATGTAACAAAAAAACCTAGGAAATGTTTCCTCTACTGGATTTATTATATAGTACTGGTGAATGTAGTTAATATGTACAAACATGTATCTCACTATTATAGCAACATATTTACATTTACACTGGACTGCATATTGTAAAGAAAATCCTGGAAAATATTTCCTCAAATGGATTTTAAAATCTAGAACTGAATGTAGCTCTAAATTTACAAACAATTATACATGTCCAACAAAATATTACACTGATAACTCAGGCCTATGACATACACCCTTACCAGACAAAGCTAGTTCTCAACTATCATATTGAGTTCTGTCAAGTTCGTTGACAGGATAACAAGAGCAATATGGCTCTTAATATCTGGGTCATTTCTGGTTGCAAAGTCACAAGTTAATTTAGAAATTGACATATACAGTGATATTTTGATAAGATAATTTGAAATATTATGTATATTATCCTTATAACTCACTTTGTGAAAGTTAAGTGGTATTTCATACATTGCAGGCAAACCACCTAAAACAAAATGGTAAAAGTCAACAATACACATAGGTATACAAAGATGAAGAAGAACAAAGCAGCTGGACCAGATGGTGTGGTCACTGAAATGTTTGAAGCATTAGAGGAATATGGTGTTGATAGATTAACAGAAATTATCAACAAAATATATGATGACGGAACATTTCCAGATGAATTGGGCAGATCCATTTTCATTACTCTCCCAAAGAAACCGGGAGCCATGGATTGTAAGCAATATAGGACAATCAGCCTTATTTGCCATATCACTAAGATTATTTTGAGGATTCTGCTTTTGAGAGCAAGAAGTAAAATAACTCCCATGGTCAGAAGGGAACAAATTGGTTTTGTAAAGGATTACGGCACAAGAAATGCAATATTTGTGGTTAGAAATATAACGGAGAGAGCAGTCGAAATGCAAAAGGATGTGTACATGTTTTTTTATTGATTATTCAAAAGCTTTTGATAAAGTAAGACATTAAGAACTTTTTGAAGAGCTGAAAAAGCTTGATATATATAGGAAAGATCTAAGACTGCTACAAAGTCTATATTGGAATCAGTTTGCATGCATCGGGGTAGAAGGAGAGTGGAGTGAATATATCAACATCAGACGGGGAGTCAGGCAGGGTTGTGTTATGTCGCCAGACCTGTTCAATATGTATAGTGAAATCATTCTAAGAGAATTGGAAGATGAAAATGGGATACAAGTGGGTGGTCATTCAATCACAAATATTAGATATGCTGATGACACTGTTTTATTTTCTGAATCAGAGAAAGATCTCGAGAGACTACTGAATGTAGTTGTAAAAGAAAGTGAGAGAATGGGACTAGAGATCAACTATACCAAGACAAAGTGCCTAGTGGTATCCAAGAAGAGCAGTCCAAAATGTAACTTGAAACTAAAAGAACAGATTATTAAACAAGTCTCCTCATTTAACTACCTCGGCAGCATGATTACCAAGGATGACAGATGTGAGACAGAGATCAAGAGAAGGATAGTTCTCACTAAATCTGCATTTTCAAAGTTAGGCAAAATTCTGACAAATCTACCCAGTACTTATGTATGGTAGTGAAACATGGACTTTAGCCTCTGATACTAAAAAGCGTTTGGAAAGTTGCGAAATGAGGTTTCTAAGAAGAATGATGAAAATCCCCTGGACTGACAAAGTTAGTAATGAGGAAGTTCTTACACGAGCTGGAGTGCAAAGGGAAATGATACGTGAGATGTTGATTATAGGCAGTTGAAGTTCATGGGTCACATTATACGTAAAGAAGGCCTAGAGAATCTTGCTTTGACAGGGAAAATTGTGGGAAGAAGGAGTAGGGGAAGGAGGATACTTTGGATGGACAGTCTGCAGATATTGTTGGAAGAGAGAGGAGGGAAAGAACTGGGAGTGGCACTAATACAGAAGGCTAGGAGCCGAGGGTTGTGGAACAGCATGATCGCCAAAGTCAAATGATATGGCACTTAGAGAGAGATACTTGCTACATCACTACATAAATTGTCTAATGCACTCACATCCTTGACAAGGCATTAATCCACATTTGCCACTCTCCACCCAGGTATAAATGGGCACCCGATATTCCAAATCACTACATATTTGGCCGCTGCCTAGGACCAGGGTAATAATGTTTGAGCGCCACTGTCACGGCATAACGGCATGAATACTACATCTAAAGTCACCGTTATCATTATAACTACTAGTCCCTGGTGTTGTCATAGCAGAGTAAAATATGATCCCCTATTTAGAGTATTTTTCAAAAACATTTTCCACATAACATGACCCCTTTCTGCATAAAACAGGTACACAATGGTCTCTTGATACTACTCTGTTTTGGGCTTATTCTACATAGGCCTTTCACATGTTTTCGAACATTGTGACAATATTGTGTTCTCATTCTTGTAAAATGTATAAAATAATACCAGATAGCGGACTGTAGTGGACTGAATTCATTGAAGTGAAAAGGGGAAAAAACAGCCTTTTTACCAATATTTAAACCTTTGCAAACATCGCCAAATTTACCCCAAATTTCTTGCTATCGCAGTCCAAACCACCAGGCACCCGAGACACATGGACACCCAAAATCTAGGTCTGGTCCCCCCCCCCCCGAATTTTCCAAAAAAAGTTAGTGTGAAGCCCTGTAGCATGCATACACAAAGACAGTCAAGATGAAGTGTTACCCCGGGACACTGTCTTACTCTACCGATACCATATAACAACTAGACTTCATACTTTGATTGCTTCTCTGGAATTTTAGGATCATCCTGTGGAGCTCTTGACTGAGTACAAGGAGCTTGCCTCTTATAAGGCCTGGTCCGACTGTTGCTATACCGTCTCTGTGTCTGAGAGAATTGACATAGAATATCTGATGTATTGCCAACATCAAAGTCTCTACCAGTACTGCTTGTAAATTAAAATCTAAATTTCTAGACTTGGAAGGTTAATGATATCCAGAGACTGGATGGTTACACAACAGAGCAGAGCTGGAAGTCATGTGACTTGCCCGAGTGAGCCGAACCATCCAAGTCATTTGAGCTGTCCAAGTCGGCCGAGACATACGAGTCACTTGAGCCGTCCAAGTCGGCCGAGACATACGAGTCACTTGAGCTGTCCAAGTCGGCCGAGTTGTCAGAGTCATTTGAGCCGTCCGATTCATGTAAGCTGTAAAGGACACAGATATAAAAAAAAATAGTTACCGTATCTGTTTGAAAGATGAGAAATAAAATATCAACTACTATTGGTATTATTGAAAGTACCTGTCTCAAGAAACATTTTGATCTGTGAATGAAGAAGAAAATCAATAGAAGAGACTATAGCCTACAGTTTAACAAAAATATCAAGAAAACACAACAAACAAAAAGCAGAGAACACAACAAATCTTCAATACAATATATTAAAGGTTTAAAGTACTTTACAGTTGGGAATTTGATAAATAGTTTTTTTTACGATGGTCCCTGAAGAGTGACATGTTTTCCGGGAGCTCCCTTTTTCGCACGCTTAGCTACGTGGGACTAACGGGATAGATACCCATCAGCTCGCATCTTCCGACACTCAAACCAATCCCGCCCCTTCAGACTTTGAAGTATTTGTTCGGAAAGGAATATCTGACATTCGGTCAATGCTTTCTAATTTTGAGGAATTATAAGCTCTAGCCTTCCAAGATGCACGTACTACAGAGTTAGAGAAAAAGTTTACCCCACTTGAGAATAAGGCGAATGACTTAGAAGCCCGCATTTTGACCCATGAATCCCGTCTGCAGACAGCAGAGCTAGCTGAAAATAAACTGGAACGTTTTTTTCGTGGAGAAACAACTTTAGAATTGTCGGAGTACCTAATTACCCCAATGAGAATGCTATGGATGTCGCAATATAATTAGCGCATATGCTCCCCTGGAAACACCCACAGAGGCTTTAACACGTAAATCATCATGTTTTTAGCACATTTCCCCCACTAAAACACATGTATCTGTAGAACGGGTAATCGCCGCAAAAGAGGTGAACAGATTCTCAAAGTTCATTATTCTAGCTTCATGATCATGTATGTTTTACTAAGTAAAGTCACAAAACCAGTGATCATTTTTTTTTTCAAACTTGGGCATTCAATGGCAATTGTCTATAGAGAGAACAGAAATTTGACCCTAAATTTCCTACCCGCGTTGTTTATCCGGACATGACAGGATAAGTCGATGTCATGTGGCAGAGGGGTGAACGGTTTTGGAAAGAAGATGAAATTCCCTGTCCACTCATATAAGATCCATGGTAATTGGTTAGATATCCAGTGATCATTTTTTCTTCAAGGTTTTCATATAATAAGCAGAATTGTTACAAATGTCACCCGGTATGTGGCCACACGGCCTGTGTGGTATGCTAATTGTTAGGTCTGTTCCATGGCGCACTCACACACGGACCTTATGCGCGTTTAGGGCCAAAAGTTTTCATTATGAAGATATTCTCAAGAGATATTATGGTATGGAACCCACAAGTTGAGCGTTCCCATCGAGACGGCCCCCAAATGAAGGATCTTTCACGTCATCTTTTGGTAGAACCCTTACAAAAAAACCTAATGGTAAATGAATGGTGTTTAAATGGTAGCGTCAATGGTAAATGGTATTTTAATGGTGTCCCAATGGTGGATTCTGTATGGTGAATGGTGTTTCAATGGTGGTGTATGATGGTGAATGGTGTTTCAACGGTAGAGTCTGTATGGTGAATGGTGTTTCGATGGTGGAATTGTATGGTGAATGGTGTTTCAATGGTGGAATTGTATGGTCAACGGTGTTTCAATGGTGGAATTGTATGGTCAATGGTGTTACAATGGTGGAGTGTGTATGATGAATGGTGTTTCAATGGTAGAGTCTGTATGGTGAATGGTGTTTCAATGGTGGCATCTGATGGTGAATGGTGTTTCAATGGTAGAGTGTGTATGATGAATGGTGTTTCAATGGTGGAATTGTATGGTCAATGGTGTTTCAATGGTGGAATTGTATGGTCAATGGTGTTACAATGGTGGAGTGTGTATCATGAATGGTGTTTCAATGGTAGAGTCTGTATGGTGAATGGTGTTTCAATGGTGGCATCTGATGGTGAATGGTGTTTCAATGGTAGAGTCTGTATGGTGAATGGTGTTTCACTGGTAGTGACTTTGAGAAAACTAGGTGTCCCTTATATATTTGCTCTGTGATTTCCCTTTATTTTTCGCAAATTTTTCTTCATGATCAACGTTTTAAAGCTGACAAACTGCAAGGAATAATACCCTAGTCCTCAGGAACAATGATGGATCTTTAGTTTTTTCTTCAATTTGGAGTAATTTCGGATCTGATGTGTCTCTTTACCGTGAGTAACTGATGTTATGTGCCTGTGGTCCAACTCATATTACTCTGTGATGTACATTATTATACATGTGCTTACATGACGAGTTAAACAGCCTGTTATTGCTAATCAAAGCAGCCTATAAATCATTCTATTTTATTACAAAAATTAAAATATTACAGTATTAGGGGCACGCCTTTAGAAATTTTATCAAGTTATTTATCTGATTGTAAAAAATTAACAATTATTAATGAAGCTGAATCCTAAGTTAAAACAATAGGTTGCGAAAAATCCTAAGGATCTATTCTCAGCCCCCTTTTGTTTTAGATTTATATTAATGACATGCCATGTTTACAGTAACCCATAATTTGCGTTATATTTTATTTGCAGACGATACTAGTGTATTTTATAAAGGTCGTGATCATTTCGTAAATACTCAATTAATAAATTTGAGTATGTAAATGGAATCCAATGAGTTAATATTAAATACTAATAAAACTAATTATATTATGTTTGGAACTAAAACCAAAATTCCAATGGATTTAAATTTTGTTCTATTCAAATAAAAAGATAACTCGGGTGTCAAGTACAACATGTTTAGGAGTATTTGTAGATGAAAAACTATCTTGGAACCACCATATATATTGATGTTTGATTCAGATTGAATTTCTTACCTCAGACTGTTTTGAAAATTTGATATCAAGCCCTCATTTCTTCCCATTTTAATTATTGTAATATTGTTTGGGGTTTCACTTCTAAAAGAAATATTGAACAAATTTATAAATTACAGAAACGTGGGATTCGCCTTATTACACACTCTTTTTATCTATCTCACACTCTACCATTATTTCCTAAGATGTATGATTATTTTACTTTGAATTGTTCCATTCATAATTACAAAACTAGAAATGCTCAAAATATCCACCTCCCTTTCTGCCCCCTTTAAACTGCATATCAACTACTCAGAATTCATTTTTTTTTTTTTTACAATGGTCCAATTATTTGGAATAACATCCCAACTCATCTAAAAAATAGTAAGACCGTAAAACAGTTCAAACGATAAGTTAAACAACAACTACTGAACTCATAAATGATAATATTTTGTTGATGTTTCCTATCTTTTCTTCCTTATCTTGTTTTTAAAATTAAATTTTGATGTTTTTGTTATCTTTTTGTAAATTTGTTGATATTTTTCTTACAATGTATAATATGTTATGTATATTCTTGTTATTTGTTAAGGGCTCACTTTCAACAAGCCAATTTAGTGCTTTTTATGACCCTTACAAAAAAAAAAGTTTAATGGTATACCAATGGTATACCATTCGGAAGTACCACTGAAAATACCATATGCATACCATTTCAAACACCATTTAAATACCATTAAGATTACGCTCACAAAGTACCATTGGGTACCATTCATCTACCAGTGAAATACCATTCAACCTAATAATAATTTTTTAGACGCTCATTAGCATAATCACCAATGGTAGATGAATGGTACCATTTACACCATTGAAATTTGAATATGAAATATGCAAATTATGTACCATTAATCTACCATTCACCATTGGCATACCATTCACATACCATTCCCCATTGGCCTACCATTCACCACCCACCATTGGCCTACCATTGACAAATCATTTACCAGCCACCATTGGCCTACCATTGGAGAATGGTGAATGGTATATATGCCAATGGTGAATGGTATTGGCTTATATACCATTCACCATTCTCCAATGGTAGGCCAATGGTGTTCAGTGAGTGGTGTGCCAATGGTACACGAATGGTGGACAGTGAATGGTATACCAATGGAAAGACCAATGGTGCATGGTAAATGATTTGTCAATGGTAGGCCAATGGTGGGTGGTGAATGGTAGGCCAATGATGAATGGTATGTGAATAGTATGCCAATGGTGAATGGTAGATTAATGGTAAAAATTTGCATATTTCATATGTTTTTTGTATTTAAAAAAAAAATCACATTTACTGTACTGACCTTTCCGAACATGTGAGGGTCTGAAGAAATGAGTCCAAGTCATCTTGAGCTTGTTCATTGAACCTGAAATTTCCTTTCCTGATCTGAGGAAAACAACCCTGTAATATATAACAGCAACATTGCTTGTAATCCTTGTATCAGTTACAAGCAAGTGGATTTATTTCATTCTGGCATAATCTATTTCTTTGGGAATATACACTCAAGAGCTATAGTTACATCCCATAAACAAATGAAAATAATTAGAAGAAAAAAGTATGGAGAATTTAGAAAAGCTAGAGTAAGACATATTTTGCACAAGAGAATTACAGCAATTTCTAAAAGAAAATGATCCAATAGTTGAATACATAATGCAATTTCATGAAAACTGTAATATTAATAATAGTGATAGTTTTACTGTAGTAGTAGTATTCACTATGGCAGTAGTAATTGAATTAAATTATTGACATCAAGTAAAAAAAAAAAGAAAAAAAGAAACCTTTTAGACAAATCTTTTTATTTTTTCTCATACTGTTAGGGGATCGGAGAACAACAACAGAGAACAGAAGACCATTTCTTTTACGATTCAACCCTAAAAGGGCTTTAGTGGTTGGAAGCTGCCTCCTTTCCTGTATAAGTAATGTATTTGAGAGTAATTTACTTCCAAGATCTGTCCTGACTTAATAGCCTAGAACCTTGTGCATCTTTGATACTAAATTTATAGAATTTAACCATTGGTTGCTGTGCAGTATCAAGAATAATTGCACTGTAATTATCTATCGTGTTTCATGACAACTCATGTCAGCCTAATTACTCCTCATTTGTTTTGTTCCCTTTATTGTATTTTTTTTAAATGTTGGTTTGGCTATTTATTCTTTATATTTCGTGTGTGAACCTTTATGCATGTATACATGGACTTGAATGACTATTACGTGAATTTTCTGTGTTTACTTTGAATTTATCATATCTCAAATTAATTAACTTCTTCTGAACCTGCATGCATATTTATATTTACATTCCATATTTTTCCTGTATTTGTTCTGTAATTATCATTATATCCTGCCCGCTTGTTGCTACTAGGGCTAGATATCCCACCCCAAAATAAAAACAAAAACAAATTTCTCAAGGCATTTTTTACTTTTATTTTGTTGCACTATATAGACCTTATCAAACCTGCTTACCCATCACCACCACCACCACCTTCACCTCCAAAAAAAAAAGACAATAAATGTTTGGTTCATATTCGGATTGCATTAACCTCTTTGTACGCTACATGACGCGAAAACCTTCAAGGTCCCACAGTGTTTAAGGCCCCTATCCCCCTAAACAAAACACAATTTTAAAGTGCCCCCCCCTCTCCAGGCAGTAACTAAGCTCATGGTCCGGTCCAACCCTGTTATATAATTTGTAGGTCCATAAGCAAACTCAGTACTTAAATAATTGGCCTGCTTGGTCTTCTTAATGTCTCAGTGGCGTAGCCTGGATAAGATCAGTAGGTGGCAGGGTGGTGGGGCAAGATTTCCCACAAGGACAAATTACGATAGGATTATATGTGTGTTATCTTTTACTCTTTGTTCTTCCTCACCACAGGTAACGCAGTGGCGGATTCAGGGGGGGGGGGGCACAGGGGACACGTGCCCCCCCCCCGGCCAAAAAAAAAGAAAAAGAGAAAAAGGAGGGGGAAAGAAAAGGGAGAGGAAAAAGAAAAAAAGGGAAGAGAGAAAGAAGAAGAAAAGAGGGAGGAAAGAAAAGGGGAGAGGAGAAAAAGAAGGGGAAAGGGAAAGAGAGAGAAGAGAAAAGGCGGAAAAAGAAGGCAGAAAGACGGAGGAGAGAAAAGGGGGAAAAGGAGAATAATGAGAAAGGAAAAGAAAGAAATGGGGATGATATTATAAGAAGGTGTTTTTTTTACCGGGTAAGGGGCGGGGGGGGGGGGCATGCAATTTAGTGTCGAACATGACTAATACCAAAGATTTTATCTCCTTTATAACTTCTAACTTCTAACTTCTAACTTAGTCTTGAATTAATTTTCCGATATACCTATTCTACGTGCTCTTTCAGCATGCAGATTGTCCCCGCCATTAATCCTGCCACATAGTTGCTGGTTTCATTGTCATATTATTTTCTGTCATCCCTGTGGCCGCGAAGTTTCTATCCGTTTCGCAAGCACTTTTTTCCATCGCCTACATGTAATGCTTATTGCTTCTTGTGGGGGGGGGGGGGGGGGGGGGGGGGTAGTGAGCACATTTTTTTTTTTGATCCTCAAAAAAAATTTCAATTTGCACCCCCCCCCCTTGAGCGCCAGGGGGGGGGGGGGCCCAACCCCCCAAAAAGGTAAAAATCACGTGATTTTACATGATTTTTTTCTCAAGGGGGGGATCCGCCACTGCCCCCCCGTATACTGTTACTTGATTTAAAAAGACGTATTAAGTACTGCTTTTTATGGTCTCCATTGAACATCACTTACGGGGGTTCAAAATAGCAACATAAAAAAATTGCCTTGCCGCTTTGCGGCTCGTGGACGATGCTCCGTGTCGTCATTGGGTCAACCCCCCCCCCCTTAGCGAAAAGCCAGATCCCATCATCCGCCCCTGGATCCCTACTCTTTGAGGGGGTAGGAAAAAGCAATTTTACGTCATATTACTCCAGGAAGTGCCTGAAAATGCACCTAATGTGGTTCTAAAATTGCAAATGCTTCCTACTCAGGGAGGGGATCTGACCCCCTCCCAGACCCACCCCGCTTGGTCGCTCCGTTCCTTCGCCGCTGACGCCTCGCTCCATCGTTTTTCATATATTTTACGCCATGCGATTTTGTGCCCCCCTCCCTCCCGGTAAGAAATTCCTGGATCCGCCACTGGTGCGGGTGATGTCTCTAGATAATTATCAAAGATAAAATGTAAAATATACTTTAAAAAAAGACAAATATTCAGGGCCATGTGTCGCCCCCCCCACAGCGACACCACAGCCGTGGGGGTGTCCTCCATCCAATATATCCCTTTGTTATTAGTATTTTGTTTTTTGCTTAGGCCTATTTTATTTTTATGAATAGCGACCCTCATTCCGTATTAAGAATAGCGACCCTCATTTCGTATTATGAATAGTGACCCTTTACTCTTATTATGAATAGCGACCTTCATTTTGTATCATGAATAGCGGTCCTCATTTTGTATTATGAATAGCGACCCTCTTCTCCTATTAAGAGTAGTGACCCTCATTTCGAATTATGAATAGCGACTCTCATTTTGTATTATGAATAGTGACCCCGATTTCGTATTATGAATAGCGGTCCTTATGAGTAATAATAATATTTAATTTTTATATAGCGCTTAATACAAATGTCTCTAAGCGCTTTACAAATATACTATTACCCCGGTCATTGGATTCAGTGCTTGCCCGCACACACTGTGTGCACAATCTCCACTCCCTGGGAAGCATTCCAGCCGGGCGTTACTTGACGCTCACAAGCTGTTTGACCAACAATGACGGCCGCATCCTACCGGGTACCCATTTGACACCTGGGTGGAGAGTAGCAAGTGCAGGTTAATATCTTGCCAAAGGATATTAGTGCCGTGTCGGGATCTAACCCTCGACCTTCGCATTGCCAGTCAAGCGCCCTAAACCACTCGACCACGACACTCCTTAGTAATGACCCTCAATATGAATTATGAATAGTGACCCTCATCTCACATTATGAATAACGGTCCTTACGAACAGTGACCCTCTTCTCCTATTAGGAATAGCGGTCCTTCAGGTATGGAAGTTGTACGTTATGAATAGCGGTCCTTATGAATAGCGAGCAGACCCCAAATTAACATATATACATGTGCACCATGTGTTAATCAATACTGCTCTTTATTTCTTTCAGTGACCTTTCCATGACATATGTATAAGTCCACACGTACCTGTATAGATGCTACTTTTGCTTTCATTGTAGAGAAGATATCCTCATTGACACTATGAACAGGCTGGACAAAATGACTCAATGTGATTTTGCAAGAGACTTAAATTCCGATTTGATCTTGTGGTCTTTTTAAAATAAGATCATTAAAATACTAGTTTCAGTATTAAAGGTAAACATAACTCTAGATTTCATGTGCACAAGAATCCAAAGTCAGGATGTTTGTTGCTATCGTGCAGTTTTGAAAATTCAAGCCTTTATTAGAAAGTGGCTCTCAAAAAACTATGTGACATTTTTTCATAACAATCAATCTTGGATAGGGTTGGAAATTGATTATTGATCCAAACAATGTCATTCTTAAACACACTTGAATTTCAACGGAATCAGAACATGAGTAGTTTGCTTTTTTCCATGTTTCATGACTGTTATTACATGACAATTATTTAAGTGAATGGCCTTTTAAAAAGGGTGTTTGGAAGGGGAAAAAAAATCATATGTACATGTGCATATACACCATGCATATAACCATTACTGCTCTTTCTGTCTATCAATGACCCTCTCTATGACATTTACATTAGGACACACATACCTGTATGGATGATGCCATTGCTTTCAAAGTAGAGTTGAAATCCTCAGTGAGATCCCCTCCATAGAGTTCCAGGTCAGTAAGGTTTGGCATAGAACACATTGCCTCTGCAAGGTGTTGTGATGAGGCTGGTGTGGGACACAGGAGACCATCAAGCTCGAGAGACTGGACCTGCATTGTTTGTCGATATAGTTAAGCAGGTGATCTATACATGCATATATCTTTTAAAATCATTTCTCATCGTCTTCTTAAATTTTACATAACATTTATTAATTACATAGTTGTATTCTTAAAGGTAATACAAAGTTTTGGTAAGGGGTCATGAATTTGGTCCAAATGAACGTATTGGAAGCATATGCGATCATACAATATTCAGTGATCATCGTCGCGATCGAAATCGAGTCTTAAGTCATGAAATTATAAATAATAATCACTTTATGTTGTATAGCTCCCTCTCAAGGTCAAGATATTAATCAAGCTACAAAACTATGTTTGTTGACTAATATCGACCGATTAGCTATTCCCGTTCGCAAACTATATACCACAACTACATATTCTGAGATTTTCATGGTCGCAGCTACCATAGTACGGCCGTAGGAGCTATTTGAAATTTATCAAAATTTACCGGGAGCACCGGTAAATCTTTATATTCAATTTTTCTCAAAAGCAGAAGTGTTTTAGGGGCTAAAATTTATAGTGCTTTTAAAACATCTACAGGGGCATCCAAATATATCAAAATTGTAAAGAATCACTATCCACCCATTTTTCGAAATTTCCCAAAACTTTGTAATACCTTTAATAACATTCTCGAGAAAAAATATTGAAGAAAAAATTTCTTCAAATTTAATTCTTCTCTGTTGAGAAAAAGAACACACTAATGTTTCCACGGAAAGGATGATTTTCGTAATAGTGTTATTTTTTAATGTTTTAAATTCCATATGTATTCTTAATTCTGCTTGCAACCTGTTTGCATTGACAAGTGCTACTACTACTTACACTGAAATTAATAATACCCATAAATAGACATTTGCTATTAATGTATTAAATGTATTATCATAACTCTGGATTTCATGTGCTCAAGAATCCTAACTCAGGAGGTTTGTTGCTATGGTGCAGTTTGGAAATTCAAGCCTTTATTTAAAATTGGCTCTCAAAAAACAACTATGTGACATATTTTTCATATCAATCAAACTTGGAAAAGGTTGGATATTGATTAATGATCAAAACAATGTCATTCTTAAACATACTTGAATTTGAACTGAGTCAGGACATAAGTAGTTTGCTTTTATTTCATGTTTCATGACTGTTCCAATATCAACTGCTCAAAAAAGGGTGTTTGAAGAAGAAAAAAAATATCATATGTACATGTGCACCAAATAACTATTACTGCCCTTTCTGTTTATCAATGACCCTCTCCATGGCATTTACATTAGGACATGCATACCTGTAGGGATGATGCCTTTGCTTTCAAAGTATAGCAGAGCTCCTCATTGAGATCCCCTCCTAAGAGTGTCAGGTAAGTCAGGTTTGGCATAGAACACAGAGCCTCTGCAAAGTGATGTGATGAGGCTGGTGTGGGACACTTGATGCGTGCAAGCTGGAAATTCTGGACCTGCATTGTGTGTCAATATAGTTATGCACCTCATCTATACACGCATATATTTTATTAAATATTTTCTCATCGTCTTCTTAAATCTAACACAAATTTTATTAATAACATAGTTGTCCTCATAATAATATTCTTGAGAAAAATGATTGATACATTTTATTTTCAAATTCAAATCTTCTCTATTGAGAAAAGATGATTTTGTAATAGTGTTATTTGTGTATGTTTTAAATTCCATATGTATTCCTTATAGGGCTTGCAACCTGTTTGCATTGATAAGTCCTACTCCTACTAACACTGAAATCAACCATACCCATAAATATACATCTGCTATTAATGTATTAAAGGTTATTCATAACTCTAGATTTCATGTGCACAAGAATCCTAAGTCGGGAAATTCAAGCCTTAATTGAAATTGGCTCTCAGAAAAAAATATATGACATATTTTTCATATCAATAAAAGTTTTTAAAAAGATCAGATACTGATTATTTATCAAAAAAATGTAAATCTAGAACACACTTGAATTTCATCTGACTCGTACATGTGTAGTTTTCTTTTATTCCATGTTTCATGACTGTTCCAATATACCAAGTGAATGGCCTATAAACAAGTGTGTTTAAAAAAAAATCATGTCCACCATATAACAATTACTGCTCTGTCTGTCTATCAATGACCCTCTACAAGACTTTTACATTATGACACATACCTGTATGGATGATGCATTTGCTTTCAAAGTATAGCACAGATCCTCAGTGAGATCCTCTCCAGAGAGTGACAAGTTAGTCAGGTTTGGCATAGAACACAGAGCCTCTGCAAGGTGATGTGATGAGGCTGGTGTGGGACAATGGATGCGTTCAATCTGGAGAGTCTGGACCTGCATTGTTTGTCAATATATAGTTAAGCAGCTCATCTATACATGCCTATATTTCATTAAATATTTTCTCATCGTCTTCTTAAATCTAACACAAATTTTATTAATTACATAGTTGTATTCATAATAACATTCTTGAGAAAAATGATTAATAGATTTTATTTTCCAATACAAATCTTCTCTATTGAGAAAAGAACACACTAAACTTTCTATGGAAAGGATAATTTGTGTAATAGTGTTATTTTTAAATGTTTTAAATTCCATATGTATTCTTTATAGGGCTTGCAAACTTTCTGCTTTGATAAGTCCTACTCCTAACACTGAAAGTAATAGTACCCATAAATATACATTTGCTATTAATGTATTAAATGTATTCCTAACTCTGGATTTAATGTGCCCAAGAATCCTATGTCAGGGTGTTTGTTGCTATGGTGCAGTTTGGAAAATTCAAGCCTTTATGAAAAATTGGCTCTCAAAAAAAACTATATGATATATTTTGCTTATCAATCAAACTCGGAAAAGGTTGGATATTGATTATTTATCAAATCAACCTCAATCTAGAACACACTTGAATTTCATCTGACTCAGTACATGTGCACCATATAACTATTACTGCTCTTTCTGTCTACTAATGACCCTCTCCATGGCATTGAAATTAGGACACACATACCTGTATGGATGATGCCTTTGCTGTCAATGTAGAGTAGAAATCCTCATTGAAATCCCCTGCATAGAGTGTCAGGTCAGTCAGGTTTGGCATAGAAGACACTGCTTCTGCAAGGTGATGTGATGAGGCTGGTGTGGGACACTCGATATGATCAAGCTTGAGAGTCTGGATCTGCAGAGTTTGTGATTATAGTTAAGCAGCTCATCTATACATGCATATATTTTATTAAATATTTTCTCATCGTATTCTTACATTTAACACAAATTCTATTGATATATGTATCATCTTTATTAAGCGTAATAAACAGAGAAGTATAAACATTTGAAACCAGGTCCATGACACAGTGTAGTATATAATATACAATTGTGTCACTGGCAGGGTATACAAGACGTATAGTCGTATACACCCCCTACAATATAGGAAACATATAAAGCATATACAGAAAATAGCAAACGAAATAATAGAAAGAAAAATACGAAGTTAAGATTTCTCAACGAAAATAAGCAATACTATATGTACATATATACATATACATACACATACTTACACACGCATATATATATATACACAACACATATATGTACATACATACATCTTTGGCTATCTTAAATACCGATATAAAAAGTAACAAGGGAAACGCTCTTGGCGATCTCGTCTGCATTACGCAATTCGATATGATGACATATTGAAGTTGGGACATTATTTATAGGCAGGCTGGCCCATTAGCAGGCCCCCTGAAATGAAAGCCTCTGAAAATAATCAGCTTTTTGAAGTGAATATTGACTAAGAATCATCAGAAAAATTATTTACTATGATTTGTACCAAGATTGATAACTTTCATGAAATATGAACAAATAACAAAAATTGATTGATCAATTCTCATATTAAGTTGTGAAAACCTAATCCAAGTCTACTGACCTAACATAACCTTTGACCATGACGTTGTGACCTGGAATTTCTCATATAAATCAAACTAGGCAAAGGTTAGATATTGTTTATTGGACATAAATAATGTCAACAACTTATAAGCACTTGAGGTTCAACTGAATTAATACATGTGTCGTTTGCTTTCATTTTAATTTCACGACTATTCAAATATACCAAGTGAATGACCTTTTAAAAAGGGTGTTTGGAAGAAAAAAAACATATATACATGTGCACCATATAACCATTACTGCTCTTTCTGTCTATCAATGACTCTCCATGACATTAACATTAGTACACACATACCTCAATGGATGATGCCTTTTCTTTCAATGTAGAGTAGAACTCCTGAGTGAGATCCCTTTCAAGTTTCAGATTAGTCAGCTTTGGCATAGAGCAGAGTGCTTCTGCAAGGTGACGTGATGAGGCTGGTGTGGGACACTGGACATGATTAAGCGTGAGAGTCCGGATCTGCAGTGTTTGTGAGTATAGTTAAGCAGCATGTCTATACATGCATATGTTTTATTTTCTAACTTCTGACTGTATTCTTACATTTCACACAAATTCCATTAATTACATAATTGTATTCAAGATAACATTCTCAAAAAATTATTAATTAGATTTCATTTTCAAATTCAATTATTGTCTATTCAGAAAAAAACACACTGAAGTTTCTATGGAGAGGATGATTTAGAAAGAGTTATTTAACGAAAATTCTATATGTGATCTGTATAGGGCTTGCAATCTGTTTGCATTTATAAGTCATATTCCTACTATTAGTGAAATTAATAATACCCAGAAATATGTATTTGCTATTAATGCATTAAAGGTATTCTTAACTCTCGATTTCGTCTGCATAAGACCCCCTAAATCAGGAGGTTTGTTGCTATGGTACAGTTTGGTAAGTTCAAGCCTACATTGAAATTGGCTCCTCAAAACAATCCAAGAAATATTTTTCATATCAACCAAACTAGGGAAAGGTTGGATATTGTTTATTGTTCGAAAAAGATGTCAAACTTATACACACTTAAATTTCAAAGTAATCAGTACATGTGTAGTGTGCTTTCATTTCATTATTCATGGCTATTCCAATATAACAAGTTAATGGCCTTTAAAAAAAGATTGTTTGGAAAATGCAACTTATATACATGTCACCATGGCATATAACCATTACTGATCTTTCTGTCTACCAATGACCGTCTCCATGAAGTTACATTATGACACACATACCTTTATGGATGGTGCGTTTGCTTTCCATGTAGAGTAGAACTCCTCACGTAAATCCCCTCCATCGAGTGTCAAGTCAGTCAAGTGTGGCATAGAACACAGTGCCTCTGATAGGTGATGTGACGATGCTGGTGTGCGACACTGGTGATTAGTCAGGTTGAGAGTCTGGACCTGCATTTATGGTGAATATAGTTAACCAGTACGTCTTGAATAGATATATCTTATTTACTAATTTCTTACTGTCTTCTTACATTTTACACAAATTCAAATAATTACATACTTGTATTCAAGATAACATTCTAAACAAAAGATGAAATAGTTTTTATTTTCAAATTCAATTCTTGTCTATTCAGAAAAAAGAACACATTAAATTGTCTATCGACAGGATAATATAGAACGATTGTTTTAAATTCTATATGTACTCTTTATAGGGATTGCAATCTGTTTGCATTTATAAGTCATATTCCTACTTACTGTAAGGAGGTCGTTGGTGGCGGGCTTTAGAACCGTGACCTTCACCCCGTTCCCACCCCGCTTATAGGTAAGCAAGGCTTAGTTTTTATGTGTGTTTAAATTGTTATATTTGATAATATTGTTACTATGTTTTGTTCATATCCTGGTTTTAACGAATTAGTATTATTATAAGGCTTAAAAATATGTTCAAAGAACATGATATTTGTTAACAGAAAGGTGTAATTTAAGGCGATATTGTTGTTACGTAATGCTCAGAGGGTGTGACTTCTCAATGTACAAGTAGATTACAAGTAGAGGAAATGGATGCGTAGGCTATGCCTGTACGGGTACGTGTAGAATGCATTTGTGTGTACGGTCAATTGGGCCTTGGAGTGTGACTATTGTAGTCGGGAACTTGGGCGCTAATGACTATGTGTTAGGTTTTGGTGTAGAGAAACCTGATTAACGAAGAATTATGATCTTTTAAGTTTGATTAATTATGTTAGGAATTTGTATTTGATCCAGCTTATACACTTTGGGCATTTGCATTGTCTTAAATAAGTTAAAGTTATTGTTATTAACGATTCAAATGTTTTAGTGTAGTGAACACTGTTTACCTTTTGTTGTCATAATGCTGAAAGATGTGTCGTTGTTTATTCTTGTAATTGATAACTGTTTATCATTACTTGACCCCGTTCCCACCCCGCTTATAGCGGTGTGTCCTTTACAGAATAAAGAGCACCAACTCTACTCCTCAGGCTGCCATTGTCATCTGTATTGTCCGAGGTCTACCCCCACTCATTCCGGCTACCCGTCACAATCTACCACCCCCTTACATTACACTGAAATTTACAATACCCAGAAATATGCATTTGCTATTAATGCATTAACGGTTCTTATAACTCTTGATTTTATGTGCACAAGACGCCCTAAATACTAAGAGTGATTGTTTTAAATTCTATATGTATTCTTTAGAGGGATTGCAATCTGTTTGCATTTATAAGTCATATTCCTACTTACACTGAAATTAATAATACCCAGAAATATGCATTTGCTATTAATGCATTAAAGGTACTCATAACTCTCGATTTCATCTGCATAAGACCCCCTAAATCAGGAGGTTTGTTGGTATGGTACAGTTTGGTAAGTTCAAGCCTACATTGAAATTGGCTCCTCAAAACAATCCAAGAAAAATTTTTCATATCAATCAAACTAGGGAAAGGTTGGATATTGTTTATTGTTCGAAAAAGATGTCAAACTTATACACACTTAAATTTCAACGTAATCAGTACATGCGTAGTTTGCTTTCATTTCCTTATTCATGGCTATTCCAATATACCAAGTAAAAGGCCTTTAAAAAAGGTTGTTTGGAATATACAACTTATATACATTTGCACCATGGCATTTAACCATAACTGCTCTTTCTTGTCTACCAATGACCGTCTCCATGCAGTTAGATTAGTACATACATACCTTTATGGATGATGCCTTTGCTTTCAATGTAGAGTAAAACTCCTCACGTAAATCTCCTCCATCGAGTCTCAAGTTAGTCAAGTTTGGCATAGAACACAGTGCCTCTAATAGGTGATGTGACGAGGGTGTGCGAAACTTGTGATTAGTCAGCTTGAGAGTCTGGACCTGCATTCATGGTGAATATAGTTAATCAGCACGACATGAATAGATATATTTTATTTACTAATTTCTCATTGTATTCCTACAATTTCCTCAAATTCCATTATTTACATACTTGCTTTCAAGATAACATTCTTAACAAATGATGAAATGATTTTTATTTCCAAATTCAATTCTCGTCTATTCAGAAGAAAAAAAAAGAACATTAAAGTGACCCTCAAGAGGATAATTTACTAAGAGTTATTTCTTTTGATTCTTTATGTATTCTTTAGAAGGGTTGCAACCTGTTTGTATTTACAAGTCATATTCCTACTAACACTGAAATGAATAATACCCAGAAATATGCATTTGCTCTTAATGCATTAAAGATACTCATAACTCTCGATTTCATATGCACAAGACGCCCTAAATCAGGAGGTTTGTTGCTATGGTACAGTTTGGTAAGTTCAAGCCTACATTAAAAGTGGTTCTTTAAAACACTCTATGAAATGTTTTTTATGTCAACCAAACTAGGAGAAAATTGGATATTGTTTATTGGTCAAAAAAATGTCAAATTCATACACACTTAAATTTCAAAGTAATCAGTACATGTGTAGTCTGCTTTCATTTCATTATTCATGGCTATTCCAATATACCAAGTAAATGGCCTTTAAAAAGAGTGCTTGGAAAATGCAACTTATATATATGTGAACCATGGCATATAACCATTACTGACTTTCTGTCTTCCAATGACCGTCACCATGCAGTTACATTAGTACACATATACCTTCATGGATGATGCGTTTGCTTTCCATGTAGAGTAGAACTCCTCACGTAAATCCCCTCCATCGAGTGTCAAGTCAGTCAAGTGTGGCATAGAATACAGTGCCTCTGATAGGTGATGTGACGACGCTGGTGTGCGACATTGGTGATTAGTCAGGTTGAGAGTCTGGACCTGCATTCATGGTGAATATAGTTAACCAGTACGTCTTAAATAGATATATCTCATTGACTAATTTCTCAATGTCTTCTTACATTTTACACAAATTCCATTAATTACATACTTGCATTCAAGATAACATTCTAAACAAATGATGAATTAGTTTTTATTTTCAAATTCAATTCTTGTCTTTTCAGAAAAAAAGAACACATTAAAGTGTCTATCGACAGGATAATAAAGAACGGTTGTTTTAAATCATATATGTACTCTTTAGAGGGATTGCAATCTGTTTGCATTTTTAAGTCATATTCCTACTTACACTGAAATTAACAATACCCAGAAATATGCATTTGCTATTAATGCATTAAAGGTTCTTATAACTCTCGATTTTATGTACACAAGACGCCCTAAATACTTAGAGTGATTGTTTTAAATTTTATATATATTCTTTAGAGGGATTGCAATCTGTTTGCATGTATAAGTTATATTCCTACTTACACTGAAATTAAAAATACCGAGAAATATGCATTTACTATTAATGCATTAAAGGTACTCATAACTCTCGATTTCATGTGCACAAGACCCCCTAAATCAGGAGGTTTCTTGCTATGGTACAGTTTGGTAAGTTCAAGCCTACATTAAAATTGGCTCCTCAAAACACTCTATGATTTTTTTTTCACATCAATCAAACTAGGAAAAGCTTGTATTTTGTTTATTGGTCAAAATAATTTCAAGCTTATACACACTTAAATTTCAACGTAATCAGTACATGTGTAGTTTTCTTTCATTTCGTTTTTAATGCCTACTCCAATTTACCAAGTAATGGCCTTTAACAAGCGTGTTATAAAAATACAACTTATAAACATGTGCACCATAAGTCATATAACCATTACTGCTCTTTCTGTCTACTAATGACCGTCTCCATGCAGTTACATTAGTACACACATACCTTTATGGATGATGCCTTTGCTTTCAATGTAGAGTAGAACTCCTCACATAAATCTCCTCCATCAAGTCTCAAGTCAGTCAGGTTTGGCATAGAACACAGTGCCTCTGATAGGTGATGTGATGAGGCTGGTGTGGGACACTTGTGATCATCAAGCTTGAGTGTCTCGACCTGCATTCATGGCGGATATAGTTAACCAGTACGTCTTGAATAGATATATCTCATTTACTAATTTCTCACTGTATTCTTACATTTTACACAAATTCCATTAATTGCATATTTGCATTCAAGATAACATTCTAAACAAAGGATGAAATAGTGTTTTTTTTCAAATTAAATTCTTGTCTATTCAGAAAAAAAGTACACATTAAAGTGTCTATCGACAGGATAATAAAGAACGATTGTTTTAAATTATATATGTACTCTTTAGAGGGATTGCAATCTGTTTGCATTTATAAGTCATATTCCTACTTACACTGAAATTAACAATACCCAGAAATATGCATTTGCTCTTAATGCATTAAAGGTTCTCATAACTCTCGATTTTATATGCACAAGACGCCCTAAAAACTAAGAGTGATTGTTTTAAATTCTATATGTATTCTTTAGAGGGATTGCATTCTGTTTGCATTTATAAGTCATAATCCTACTTACACTGAAATTAACAATATCCAGAAATAAGCATTTGCTCTTAATGCATTAAAGGTACTCATAACTCTCGATTTCATCTGCACAAGACCCCCTAACTCAGGAGGTTTGTTGCTTTGGTACAGTTTGGTAAGTTGAAGCCTACATTGAAATTGGCTCCTTAAATCAATCCACGAAATATTTTTCATATCAATCAAACTAGGAAAAGGTTGAATATTGTTTATTGTTCGACAAAAATGTGAAACTAAGACACACTTAAATGTCAACGTAATCAGTACATGCGTAGTTTGCTTTCATTTCATTATTCATGGCTATTCCAATATACAAAATAAATGGCCTTTAAAAAAGAGTGTTTGTAAAATGCAACATATTTACATGTGCACCATGGTATATAACCATTACTGTTCCTTCTGTCTACCAATGACCGTCTCCATGCAGTTACATTAGTACACACATACCTTGATGGATGATGCGTTTGCTTTCCATGTAGAGTAGAACTCCTCACGTAAATCCCCTTCATAGAGTCTCAAGTAAGTCAAGTGTGGCATAGAACATAGTGTCTCTGATAGGTGATATGATGAGGCTGGTGTGGGACACTTGTGATCATCAAGCTTGAGGGTCTCGACCTGCATTCATGGCGGATATAGTTAACCAGTACGTCTTGAATAGATATATCTCATTTACTAATTTCTCACTGTATTCTTACATTTTACACAAATTCCATTAATTGCATATTTGCATTCAAGATAACATTCTAAACAAAGGATGAAATAGTGTTTTTTTTCAAATTAAATTCTTGTCTATTCAGAAAAAAAGTACACATTAAGTGTCTATCGACAGGATAATAAAGAACGATTGTTTTAAATTATATATGTACTCTTTAGAGGGATTGCAATCTGTTTGCATTTATAAGTCATATTCCTACTTACACTGAAATTAACAATACCCAGAAATATGCATTTGCTCTTAATGCATTAAAGGTTCTCATAACTCTCGATTTTATATGCACAAGACGCCCTAAAAACTAAGAGTGATTGTTTTAAATTCTATATGTATTCTTTAGAGGGATTGCATTCTGTTTGCATTTATAAGTCATAATCCTACTTACACTGAAATTAACAATATCCAGAAATATGCATTTGCTCTTAATGCATTAAAGGTACTCATAACTCTCGATTTCATCTGCACAAGACCCCCTAACTCAGGAGGTTTGTTGCTTTGGTACAGTTTGGTAAGTTTAAGCCTACATTGAAATTGGCTCCTTAAATCAATCCACGAAATATTTTTCATATCAATCAAACTAGGAAAAGGTTGGATATTGTTTATTGTTCGACAAAAATGTGAAACTAAGACACACTTAAATGTCAACGTAATCAGTACATGCGTAGTTTGCTTTCATTTCATTATTCATGGCTATTCCAATATACAAAATAAATGGCCTTTAAAAAAGAGTGTTTGTAAAATGCAACATATTTACATGTGCACCATGGTATATAACCATTACTGTTCCTTCTGTCTACCAATGACCGTCTCCATGCAGTTACATTAGTACACACATACCTTGATGGATGATGCGTTTGCTTTCCATGTAGAGTAGAACTCCTCACGTAAATCCCCTCCATAGAGTCTCAAGTAAGTCAAGTGTGGCATAGAACATAGTGTCTCTGATAGGTGATATGATGAGGCTGGTGTGGGACACTTGTGATCATAAAGCTTGAGGGTCTCGACCTGCATTCATGGCGGATATAGTTAACCAGTACGTCTTGAATAGATATATCTCATTTACTAATTTCTCACTGTATTCTTACATTTTACACAAATTCCATTAATTGCATATTTGCATTCAAGATAACATTCTAAACAAATGATGAAAATGTTTTTTTTTTTTCAAATTCAATTCTTGTCTATTCAGAAAAAAAGTACACATTAAAGTGTCTATCGACAGGATAATAAAGAACGATTGTTTTAAATTATATATGTACTCTTTAGAGGGATTGCAATTTGTTTGCATTTATAAGTCATATTCCTACTTACACTGAAATTAACAATACCCAGAAATATGCATTTGCTCTTAATGCATTAAAGGTTCTCATAACTCTCGATTTTATATGCACAAGACGCCCTAAAAACTAAGAGTGATTGTTTTAAATTCTATATGTATTCTTTAGAGGGATTGCATTCTGTTTGCATTTATAAGTCATAATCCTACTTACACTGAAATTAACAATATCCAGAAATATGCATTTGCTCTTAATGCATTAAAGGTACTCATAACTCTCGATTTCATCTGCACAAGACCCCCTAACTCAGGAGGTTTGTTGCTTTGGTACAGTTTGGTAAATTTAAGCCTACATTGAAATTGGCTCCTCAAATCAATCCACGAAATATTTTTCATATCAATCAAACTAGGAAAAGGTTGGATATTGTTTTTTGGTCGAAAATATGTCAAACTTATACACACTTAAATTGCAACGTAATCAGTACATGTGTAGTTTGCTTTTATTTCATTATTCATGGCTATTCCAATATACCAAGTAAATGGCCTTTAAAAAGAGTGCTTGGAAAATGCAACTTATATATATGTGAACCATGGCATATAACCATTACTGATCTTTCTGTCTTCCAATGACCGTCACCATGCAGTTACATTAGTACACACATACCTTCATGGATGATGCGTTTGCTTTCCATGTAGAGTAGAACTCCTCACGTAAATCCCCTCCATCGAGTGTCAAGTCAGTCAAGTGTGGCATAGAATACAGTGCCTCTGATAGGTGATGTGACGACGCTGGTGTGCGACATTGGTGATTAGTCAGGTTGAGAGTCTGGACCTGCATTCATGGCGGATATAGTTAACCAGTACGTCTTGAATAGATATATCTCATTTACTAATTTCTCACTGTATTCTTACATTTTACACAAATTCCATTAATTGCATATTTGCATTCAAGATAACATTCTAAACAAATGATGAAATAGTTTTTATTTTCAAATTCAATTCTTGTCTTTTCAGAAAAAAAGAACACATTAAAGTGTCTATCGACAGGATAATAAAGAACGGTTGTTTTAAATCATATATGTACTCTTTAGAGGGATTTCAATCTGTTTGCATTTTTAAGTCATATTCCTACTTACACTGAAATTAACAATACCCAGAAATATGCATTTGCTATTAATGCATTAAAGGTTCTTATAACTCTCGATTTTATGTACACAAGACGCCCTAAATACTTAGAGTGATTGTTTTAAATTCTATATATATTCTTTAGAGGGATTGCAATCTGTTTGCATGTATAAGTTATATTCCTACTTACACTGAAATTAAAAATACCAAGAAATATGCATTTACTATTAATGCATTAAAGGTACTCATAACTCTCGATTTCATGTGCACAAGACCCCCTAAATCAGGAGGTTTCTTGCTATGGTACAGTTTGGTAAGTTCAAGCCTACATTAAAATTGGCTCCTCAAAACACTCTATGATTTTTTTTTCACATCAATCAAACTAGGAAAAGCTTGTATTTTGTTTATTGGTCAAAACAATTTCAAACTTATACACACTTAAATTTCAACGTAATCAGTACATGTGTAGTTTTCTTTCATTTCGTTTTTAATGCCTACTCCAATTTACCAAGTAATGGCCTTTAAAAAGCTTGTTATAAAAATACAACTTATAAACGTGTGCACCATAAGTCATATAACCATTACTGCTCTTTCTGTCTACTAATGACCGTCTCCATGCAGTTACATTAGTACACACATACCTTTATGGATGATGCCTTTGCTTTCAATGTAGAGTAGAACTCCTCACATAAATCTCCTCCATCAAGTCTCAAGTCAGTCAGGTTTGGCATAGAACACAGTGCCTCTGATAGGTGATGTGATGAGGCTGGTGTGGGACACTTGTGATCACCAAGCTTGAGTGTCTCGACCTGCATTCATGGCGGATATAGTTAACCAGTACGTCTTGAATAGATATATCTCATTTACTAATTTCTCACTGTATTCTTACATTTTACACAAATTCCATTAATTGCATATTTGCATTCAAGATAACATTCTAAACAAATGATGAAATAGTGTTTTTTTCCAAATTAAATTCTTGTCTATTCAGAAAAAAAGTACACATTAAAGTGTCTATCGACAGGATAATAAAGAACGATTGTTTTAAATTATATATGTACTCTTTAGAGGGATTGCAATCTGTTTGCATTTATAAGTCATATTCCTACTTACACTGAAATTAACAATACCCAGAAATATGCATTTGCTATTAATGCATTAAAGGTTCATATAACTCTCGATTTTATGTGCACAAGACGCCCTAAAAACTAAGAGTGATTGTTTTAAATTCTATATGTATTCTTTAGAGGGATTGCATTCTGTTTGCATTTATAAGTCATAATCCTACTTACACTGAAATTAACAATATCCAGAAATAAGCATTTGCTCTTAATGCATTAAAGGTAGTCATAACTCTCGATTTCATCTGCACAAGACCCCCTAACTCAGGAGGTTTGTTGCTTTGGTACAGTTTGGTAAGTTGAAGCCTACATTGAAATTGGCTCCTCAAAACAATCCACGAAATATTTTTCATATCAATCAAACTAGGAAAAGGTTGGATTTTGTTTTTTGGTCGAAAATATGTCAAACTTATACACACTTAAATTGCAACGTAATCAGTACATGTGTAGTTTGCTTTTATTTCATTATTCATGGTTATTCCAATATACAAAGTAAATGGCCTTTAAAAAGAGTGTTTGGAAAATGCAACTTATGTGCATGTGCACCATGGCATATAACAATTACTGCTCTTTCTGTCTTCCAATGACCGTCTCCATGCAGTTACATTAGTACACGCCATACCTTTATTGATGATGCCTTTGCTTTCAATGTAGAGTAGAACTCCTCACGTAAATCCCCTCCATCGAGTGTCAAGTCAGTCAAGTGTGGCAAAGAACACAGTGCCTCTGATAGGTGTTGTGACGAGGCTGGTGTGGGACACTGGTGATTAGTCAGGTCGAGAGTCTGGACCTGCATTCATGGTGGATATAGTTAACCAGTACGTCTTGAATAGATATATCTCATTTACTAATTTCTCACTGTATTCTTACATTTTACACAAATTCCATTAATTGCATATTTGCATTCAAGATAACATTCTAAACAAATGATGAAATAGTGTTTTTTTTTTCAAATTAAATTCTTGTCTATTCAGAAAAAAAGTACACATTAAAGTGTCTATCGACAGGATAATAAAGAACGATTGTTTTAAATTATATATGTACTCTTTAGAGGGATTGCAATCTGTTTGCATTTATAAGTCATATTCCTACTTACACTGAAATTAACAATACCCAGAAATATGCATTTGCTATTAATGCATTAAAGGTTCATATAACTCTCGATTTTATGTGCACAAGACGCCCTAAAAACTAAGAGTGATTGTTTTAAATTCTATATGTATTCTTTAGAGGGATTGCATTCTGTTTGCATTTATAAGTCATAATCCTACTTACACTGAAATTAACAATATCCAGAAATAAGCATTTGCTCTTAATGCATTAAAGGTAGTCATAACTCTCGATTTCATCTGCACAAGACCCCCTAACTCAGGAGGTTTGTTGCTTTGGTACAGTTTGGTAAGTTGAAGCCTACATTGAAATTGGCTCCTCAAAACAATCCACGAAATATTTTTCATATCAATCAAACTAGGAAAAGGTTGGATTTTGTTTTTTGGTCGAAAATATGTCAAACTTATACACACTTAAATTGCAACGTAATCAGTACATGTGTAGTTTGCTTTTATTTCATTATTCATGGTTATTCCAATATACAAAGTAAATGGCCTTTAAAAAGAGTGTTTGGAAAATGCAACTTATGTGCATGTGCACCATGGCATATAACAATTACTGCTCTTTCTGTCTTCCAATGACCGTCTCCATGCAGTTACATTAGTACACGCCATACCTTTATTGATGATGCCTTTGCTTTCAATGTAGAGTAGAACTCCTCACGTAAATCCCCTCCATCGAGTGTCAAGTCAGTCAAGTGTGGCAAAGAACACAGTGCCTCTGATAGGTGTTGTGACGAGGCTGGTGTGGGACACTGGTGATTAGTCAGGTCGAGAGTCTGGACCTGCATTCATGGTGGATATAGTTAACCAGTACGTCTTGAATATATATATCTCATTTACTAATTTCTCACTGTATTCTTACATTTTACACAAATTCCATTAATTGCATATTTGCATTCAAGATAACATTCTAAACAAATGATGAAATAGTGTTTTTTTTTCAAATTCAATTCTTGTCTATTCAGAAAAAAAGTACACATTGAAGTGTCTATCGACAGGATAATAAAGAACGATTGTTTTAAATTATATATGTACTCTTTAGAGGGATTGCAATCTGTTTGCATTTATAAGTCATATTCCTACTTACACTGAAATTAACAATACCCAGAAATATGCATTTGCTATTAATGCATTAAAGGTTCATATAACTCTCGATTTTATGTACACAAGATGCCCTAAATACTAAGAGTGATTGTTTTACATTATATATATATTCTTTGGAGGGATTTTAATCTGTTTGCATTTTTAAGTCATATTCCTACTTACACTGAAATTAACAATACCCAGAAATATGCATTTGCTATTAATGCATTAAAGGTACTCATAACTCTCGATTTCATCTGCACAAGACCCCCTAACTCAGGAGGTTTGTTGCTT